ATTTTAATTTTGCCCAAGTGGTTTAGTACTACACAAAAAATGCTCTCTGAGAAATACACTATCACAAGCCTGGCAGCCGCGGCGCTCTTCAAACAGGGGGAGTTTGTTCCACTGTCACCTACCCCTTACCTTAGAGACTGCACTACCAGCCATAGAGCCAAGCTGCCCTTTTGCAAATTATTTACCCTTGGGTCACACAATTTTTGGAGCAGGTGGGCCACCTCTTTGGTTCATGTAACACTTTATAGCTTGAGATTTTCAGCTTTTAAATCTTATTGGCATAAAGTCAGAAAGATTGGTATAACCTTGAGCCAATGTAGTAGTACTGGGAGGCTCGTTTTCCGTGAGAACATTCTACTGCTAACATCCACAGGCACCCCACCTCCCCCGATATTTCTCATTTTTTTTCTTTAGGTGAATACATTTTAAGGTTTACAGGATGAATAGTAGTGTAAATCACCACATTTTTGAAGTGCAGGCAAAGGCAAGGAAGGAAAAACATTTGAGATCTGCTTGGCCAATAATAGCTTCAAAATCAGCTATTGAAATGATCAGTTCAATCAAAGTGGTAAGGGGAAAAGCATCACATATTTAGGAAACAAATTCTGGATTTGACTCGTTTATCCTTATTCGATTTATTGAAATTACCAGAGTGATTAGAAGGATTAGAAACCTTCTTAGTCATCGGCATTAGCACTACCTGGATACAGATACCCGATGAGGCATTAGCTGGGTCAGCGTTTATCCTTGCTCTGCTTCCTTTCTTTGTTGTATTTCTGTTTTATGAAATTTGCTCTGAGTTGTATTTTTTAGACTGGTGTCTTTTGCACAATGAGTTTAGATATATGGACTGTTTTGTTCCTAATATTTATTTTATAATGGATCTTAAGAATTTTTTAAAAATCTTAGTATTCAAGATCTATTTTGGGATATCGAGTTTGTATTTTATAAATAATTGAAATTATGTCAAACATAAATTTATTTTTCCACTCTTCCAGGCTGAGTAGGTACTAGGGATACAGAAATAAATGTCATAGCTCTTGTCTTCAAAGAATTTAGTATCTAATGTACAAAATGCTAGTCACATTACAGTAAAGTAACAATTATAATATTATGTAGTCAGTGGGAATAGAGATATGCCTAGTGTAGTAGGAGAGTTTAGAGTAGGAGATGGTTAACTTGCCTTGAGTGTGGGTGGAGTTCGCAGCACACAGCCAGGTTGAGAAGGATGATATAATTTTGCCAACTGCAGGAGGTAGGTAACTTCTCAAGAGGAGGATATAATAAATGAGGAAGCAAGGAGGCCTGAGAAACTGTGGCAATTTAAATAAGTCATTGACAATGACAAGTCAGTGTCAATAGACATTGACAGTTGACAAAGTCAATAACATTGACATTGATATGGCTTGAATGCAGGGGTCAGTAGGGAAATGCTGCCAGATGAAGACAGTGAGGGTGGTAGAGGGCCAGATCAGGAGATGATATCTTTAGCTAAAGGGATTGGATTGAAGGTGATAGATGAGAAGCCATTTATTGGATTTGTATTTTAGACCTTTGCTGTGGCAGAATGAGGGAGAAACTGACAAGTTTTAATCACCTATGAGAGGAAAGGAGAACCCAGGACTCTGAGGGTTTGACTTGGGGTTCTGTTGATTAGAAATGAGGAACACATAAATGGAAGGAAGATGATAAATTCTGTTTCGGCTGTTTTGAATTTGAGGAAGCAGTGGAACTTCAGGTGAAGATGTAGATAGATGTTTGTATCTATAGATGTGAAAGTCAGGATTAGAGAGAAGATTGGGGGTTGAACTGAACCATATTGATTTGGCTATGTTGAAATGACTCAGGGAAAGCCTTTAGCATGATGAGAGTGGCAACCAGAGAACAGAATAAATAGCAGAAGTAGGGAGAATAATAGTCTGAAAGAGGTAGAGGAATAGTAGTTAGAAAGGCAGGTGGACCATCAGGAAAGATGCCAAAGAGAGATTTTCAAATGGAGGAGAACCAGGTTAACACCTTTGAATGCTGTAAGGAGGTATCAAATTAGGAGAGGGCCCCAGTGACCACTTTGTCAGGAGTCCATAGGTAACTTTAACAAGAACAGTTTAAACTGAGTGGTGGTTCAGGAACCGGTCTTCAGAAGATTGAGAAAGAATCAATGTGATAAAGTAGACATGCTTGAGTGAGGCTTTTCAAGAAAACTGAAATAAAGAAGGTAGAAAATGATAGCTATATTGAGCAATGGTTCTTAACCTTGGCTATTCATTTACAATAATGTAATAATAGTTTACAATAATCTCAGGAGCTTTAAATAATTTTCTTTTGCAGAGGGAACCCTATACCAATTTGGTGGGGGTGGGGTTTGAACTCAGATATCAATATTTATCTCAACAGCTTTTCTATTGAAATGTAATTGACATATAATACACTACATATAAAGTGTACAATTTGATATATGTTTATACCTATAAAATCATCACCATAATCAAAATAATATTCATCACTTCCAAAAGTTTCTTGTGTTCCTTTATAATCTTTTCCTCTTGTCCCCGGGAAACTACTATTTACTTTCTGTAACTATTGATTACTTGCATTGATACTTTTTTTTATAGTTCCTGAAGTAATTCCAGTGTGCAGGCATGGTTGAAAACCACTGCAGAGGTATATAGTTTGAAGGACTGTTCTGTTTGTTTGTTTACATGCATAAGGAAAGTGAGAGTAGAGACAAGTAGGAAGAGATTCTTTTTTTTTTTTTAGTAGAGACAAGTAGGAAGAGATTCTTTTTTTTTTTTTTT